TCTGCAGATAAGGAAGACAGATTTAGAGTCAGCATTTTATGCTACATTCAATGGTATGCAGTTTGCTTGAATTGGCCACTTCGAATTCTGACCATGCCCTTGTGAGAAGAAGCAGCAGCTGGAGATCCCAACAAATTGAGCACCATTTGTAGATGCTTTATTCTGCCGTTATGACTTGACCCTAATCTCAACCTCAGGTGTCGTAGGTAAAACAACCATGCAAAACATCAATGAAAATCGATTGAATCGATATCGGCAATAACGAAAAGTAACCTACATCCGCCCCTCCCCAAGTGTATGCTATGCGTTTCCCGGATCGGTTCAAAAATAAAAATTTGTACTAGGAACATACGTACATACAAAGACAGCTTTGTATATAACATTTAGGTCGTTCCGAAAGTCTCTTCGCTTTTTTAAAAGAGCGTAACAACCCGCAGAACAAAGATATTCACGAGGTGATGGTCGCATCAACGCAGCTTTCAACCTCTTAGGCGGTCTCCTCGTTCTATCTTCATTGAAACTCTCAGAAAACAACCAAAAATTGCAGTCCATGGTTTCTGCCATCTTCGTGTTTCTTTAGTTTTCTAAATTTTCGTACCGACTCTCGAAGAAGTCCAATCGCCGATAGATGGATCTATCCCCATAGATACACAACAATCTTTCCATAACCTGCTCTTTGAAACTTAGAAAAAATTTTGATGTTACCTCCATATTCGGTCAACACCTGAACATTGACTGGCAAGCAGCTCAGGTGTCATTTAATCCAACCTCTCTTTTGTTTTCAAAAAAGTCTCTTGTTTCTAACTTGTAAAGTCTTCGAAGATGAAATTATCATACTATATGTTTCTAAATACTGTCCATGCTGTACAAAAAATGCCAAATCTGATATTTGGAACTCGCCAACGCTCATTTGGTATGTTGAATTAGTCCCACTTCATAATTTCTAAAAGTTAAAATTCTGGAAATTTTTTTGATTTTTTGATTGTGTCTCTAAAATACAAGAATGCTAAAGTTTGGCAGTTTAATCAACTACCTATCCAAAAATGACCTATGAAAGAGGAAAAAGTCGCTTCGTAGGCTTTGCCTTTGCTCTAACCTTCAGTTATTTGAACCCTTCGTGGTATTGATATTAGAATTTAGATAGCTAATTGACCATGGCAGAAACTACAAGTTGTAGTTTTTGGTTATTTTCTGAGAATTCTAGCAAAACTATGATGAGGAACCCATGTTTGAGAGAAGGTGAAAGGTGCATCGAATGCGGCAAAAAGCTATTGACGATCTTCGTTCTGCGGGATGTCACGCTTGTTTGAAAAAAGCAAAATTACTTTCGAAACGACCTAATACTTTTTGGAAAGTTGAAGAAGAAACAGACATAGCCCGAATAGTTCTTCCCATTTCCATTGAAATACAAATGCAATGAAGATTCTCGCAAGCTTCGCTAACACCAGGAGTACGATTTGAAGTGTTACAAGTCAGAAAAAACTTTCTCTTACAGTATGCCTGTTTTAATTGTATGACTTAATCTGAAAGAATTCAGCTGAGACTAGTCAGAGGTACGTTGTGTGTCTTACAAAAAACATTAAAAAATTTAATTCCGTGATTGTCTATCTTTCTACTTGCTCAAGTTAATTGCAGAGTCTTTCTGATGCGACTATTCACATTTGAGAGAATGTACTTTCAGCTAGTTCTTCTAAAGAAATACTGATACGCAAATCATCCAACTCGCAATTTCGCTCCGCGACGCGCGAGAGTATTCTGTACACAAAGGTAGTCAAGAAGCTGTCTCTTTGTTTTTACTATAGTCATGAACAGCAAATGTAAGGCTAGTGTTTGAGCAAAAGGGATTGAAGAGTAGAATATTATTATATGATTGCAGATAAAAATGGAAGGTCAAAAGCGAGAAATCTCCATAAAGTGTCTCCCCTTTGAAGCAACTAACTAAAGCCTTCCTTTCCTGCTCCTGCAATCTACCTATCCTAACACTAAATTCTTGGAAAATAAAACACAGTATGTGAAGTTCGCCAATCATTATTTTGGAGCAAAAGAGATGAGCAGTTTTGTCCCCAGCAACAGAGTAAGAGAGCACAACATTGCAGAACTTTGCTACTTGATGAACTAATAAATCACTATTTTAAGCTCTCTCAATATCCAAATTTACTACTTCTACACCCTGTAATGTAGTTCGTTTGTTTCATTGCTATAAAAGTACCAGAAAATAATGGTGAAATTAGACCTCTCTTGCTATCATAACAGCAGTAGTTGTCCTAGCGATGATTATAACTCTTCCAAGCGTAGTGACATTTTTGAGTAGCTCTTGAAGTTTTCTCGGGTTACTCTGAATTTCGACGAAATTTGTGTGGATAGGTAACATGCCAAAGGTTTCTCTTATGTTCTCCATGTTCTCTGCAAGATTTTTTTTTTACAAAAAGTAAGCGGCAGTACATACAGACCGTACGCATGTTCAAACAAGATGCTCGTGTTGGTCGACGATAAGTTAAGACTTGGGAGAATATCCAGAATAACGTTGTTGAATACAGTAACCGCAGGTATCAAAAAAATCTGATTGTTGGAAGCTGTATCTGCAATGTTACCAGCATTAATTGTAAGCAACTCTGTCCCTTGATTAAGCCTTACCCAAATTTTCACACAGCTTCAATTAAACAAGTGACCGATTACGTCAAGCCGAGCGCCCTTTCCAGAGAACGTAAGTTACACAAACAATTCCCTTCCTCTTGCTACCCTTCGCGAGCATGTTCAAACTAATCACTTTCAAGTTACATACCTACTCTTGAGTGAGTCTGCGGCTAATCAAACATCAACGGTATTATAATTGCAGATCAATAACTAGCATAAGACCGGATTCATACTGATCCAGATGTTTCGAAACAGTTCCGTACAGTACTACTCGCACTTGCTGGACTGTGCCGGAGTTGTGCCGCATGCGCTTTCAAGCGGCGGGAGATGAAGATTTTTGGGAAATTTTTAGCGTTGTTGTTGTTGTAAATCTCACTCGTTTGACGTCATTCTTCCATTCCGCCTCTCCTCGTAATGAGACAAGCCTTGTACTTGACGGAATTGAAGATTGAATAGAATTTAGCTTGAAAACATGTGCCTTCGTGCTTTTCTTTGTGCTTCCTCTGGCTTTTGTTAAACACACTTGTTGTATTCCAGGAAGACGCTGCCTGACCCTTACACCCGTCTGTCTTGTAACAGGACACTGATGAAACAAAAACTATGAAAATTTACAAGATTTCTGTGGTTTTTTGATGGGTTCTTGTTTTTGAGCGTTGCTAACCCCTTCTTTTTTCATATTACTGCCCGTTCTGCTCTTTCTACCTTGCTTTTTCTAATAATGATAAAAGCGCGAATTTGAGGCGGGGAAGAAAGATGAATGATGTTAAAGTGGTGTATTATCTGTGAAAGATGTGCGTCCATGTATTCTTGAAGATGTGCTTTTGTGCGCTCCTTCGTTTTCCCTCCGTGATTTTTGTCTGACACTTTTGTATTCCAGGAAAATCGGCGTAATACTCGTAGTCACCTCTTACTATAGGGCATTGACACTGAAAAAATGTGCAGAAGCTGCAGAATTTTATTGTTACCTGGTGAAACTGGACTTTAAGCTCTGTCAGCTCCTTTTCTTTTTATCAACTCATGCTTTCCTATTTTTTCTAGCCCGTTTCCGCTCGTGATGAGAAAGCTGAAAATGTGAAGCTGTGATGGAACATTCCTCGCTCCATCTATAAGGGGAAGATATGTCTTCGTACGCACATTTTCCTTCTTCTTTATTTTCGCTCAACCTCCGTCTTGTGAGTTGCGGGTGAGCATATGGATTTTTACTATAGCAACAGAGGAAGAAGGAGGGGGAGCAGGAAGGCACATTTTTTACGGATATATGGAGTTAAAAAAACTCATTCTTCAATTCTTTTTTTAAGTTCGAGACCTACCTTGTTATAAGGAGAAGCGGTGTGGAGGAATGAAGCCAAAATGAATGAAATTTACTGAAAACGCTTGAAATCTTCCAAAAATCTCTGTCTCCCGCTGCTACGAACTGCAGCGCATGCGCACACTTTTAGCACAGTGCGAGAACCGTGCTGGAACAATTCCGTAATTTTGGGATCAGCATGAACCCAGCCTAGGGAAAAGCAGTTGACACCTTTCTTCGCTTGTTAATTCAAGATAAACGTCTGATATGTTTTCAAATCCTTAACAGTAAAAGGCAGTCGACTGTTCTCTCCCTATCTAGATAATATTTTATTGATCTGCAATTATTGAAAGCCACCATTCACATTGGACTAGGGAATGTCTGCAAGGCGACCGGCGAATGTGCATCTAGAGCAAAAAGCGATTGCAAGCTGAAAATTTGTGCTGTGAGCTTTTGACTGAATAGCGCAGACTGACCGCAGGCTACGACAAAGACAATTTGTCTCTTTTTCATTAACCTGATATCAGATAACAAGTTTCGGATAAGGCTCAGATCAAGCTACTTTTATCTCAATCGGGATATTCACCGCCTCAAACTCAAATGGTTAGAAGTCCAATTGGCTATTCTGAATAATATGCAAATTACCACGTTGGTTTTAAGTGCTCCGCGCCCTCCATATATGCTAAACATTTTCATCAAAAGTAATAAGCGCTTGCTTAGATGCAATTTGCATGCTTCAGTCTGCTCTCCGTAGGTGAAATTCTTCAGGAAATATGCGATTGGCTCAGAGTTTAGGTGCTCTTTTGTAATTTGCCTTGTAGAAAAAATTCGGCTAACGAAGCTTGAAAGTACTCTTTCATTTTAGTTCGACCTCACCTAATGAGACCAAAATGATCAAAAGACCGTAACATCTCTTGACGGATCCCTTGGCGGAACAGGAAGATATAATATATTTAAACTCAACACTTGGAATTAAAGCGGTGTATATCTCAACAAGAATGGCTAGTTTAACTTCTAAGCTTCCTTCTCAGCATTTTTCAGTTCTGCAAAGAAGCAATAGCAAAGGAAAAAGTTCAAACTAACCAGTCGCCGTTTCTAGCGCATTCCAGCTGCTTCTCACAATGTGCACAGTTGGGATGCCAGAATATTGTGAAAAGTTCATTACTAGTTGCTGACCCTCTCCAGTTTTGCATGCACTGATCAGAAGGCTGACATTACTGAGCAACCCAGAAACTGAAATTATACAAAAGTTTATTTAAATTAAGTTTTTCTGGCTGAATAAAAGCGTTTTCTAGGCTTTCTAGCTAGGCATGGTGTGAAATTTTTGTTCATAGGAGTATAGTATGTCACTAGAAACTAGAAAAGAAACTGAACTAGAAAAGAAGAAAAAAATGGTCCTCTATTATAGAGTCCTAACACTTCAACAATGTTCCAGAAAAACAGATTGCTCACGCTCATTTACAGATGTTTCATTCGTAATGGCAGTGTGCTCCACAGTGATATTTTGCACTTTAAAGGTCTGGGAACGGTACTTTTGCAGTACTTTCAGATGCTGATAAATGCTTATGCCGTCATCATCACCATCTTCGGCTATGTAAGCTAAAACCACATTTTGTAAGAAAATTATCGGTACGTTCAATGGCTTACCTATTATCTCTTCCGATGTTGTACGTTGTACTATAATTAGTAGTACAACGCAAGTGATGGAGTTTCTCAACAGCATCCTCGGCTCGCCGATAACATTAGATGACGTACCGCGTGTTTTTGATATAGAGCGAAAAGGCTTGTTTGACCGTGACTATCGTGTTACAAGCTAGTGTAATCTAATGCCAAAGTTGCATTAGACTTCAGGGAAATATGTATATATGTGTCATTAAAAATTAAGCGTGAACAAAACTTGCAGAATTCAAACTTAATTGAAGTTGGGATAAGCAAAAACCATCAACACACGTACAAAACAAACGTCTTCTATGAGGCACTTTTACAAATCAAGGCCATCATAAACGCTAGCTCTATACATTTTACCCTTTATTTGCTACGAACAGCTTGTAAAATAGTTAATTAGTAAGGTGTGATGCACCACTGCTGACAACACCTAACCTTTCAAGCCGCAAAAATGTACGCAATTCGCTTATGCTCTAGATATATCAGTCGTGGTAATCCTCGCAGATTTGTAACGACATAAAGAGATGGCCTTGAGAGCAGAGTTAGTCAAGTGGTTAGTGCTCCATGTAACATTACCGTGCTGAAGGTCGCGGGTTCGATTCCACCCTGAGCCTAATTTCTGCGGCAAAAATTCTGCTCACAATTCCTGCGTCAGGCTGCCCTTCCAATGAAGGGTATGCGACAAGCCGGCTGAGAAACACCCCGTCGCATCAAATATGCAGACAGGTCCTACGAGTAATCACTGCCTATGCATCACAAGTTGGATGTAAGGATGAAAAGGACGCGTCTGGCAGGAACTGGATGACCACATCAGTTCAATTCCACTGGAAGAGACACTCCTGCTAGGAGCGGACCAACGGACATGTGGGAGAAAGGCAAGGAGAAGCCGGAAAATGTCACGGAGGCCACGGATACGGAACATGCAATGAAGAAGGTGAGCGCATTCTGGAATTCGCCTCAGCTCATGATCTGGTCTTGGCGAACACATACTACATCAAAAAGAATGACCACCTCATCACATATGCAAGTGGAGACCGACGAACACAGATAGGCCTCTGGGCTATCCGACGGCGTGACCTCAAAAACGTAAAGGACTGCAAAGTCATTCCCGGTGAGAGCTGCATACCTCAGCATAGGCCACTCCTTCTCGATATCAGAGTCTCAAGCGACAGGCACACCAGGGCGGTATGCAACAATGCAACTACCCGTCCGGGTAAGTTACCCGGACAGGTAGTTTACGCTTCATAGCTCGGTGCTCTGGGAATCTGTGTCTTTCCTTGTTTGTTTATCTGTTGGAGGCTTTACTACCCTAATATTGTAGCACAATGATTAGCAGCACTTTGCTGTATAAGCTGAGATGATTCGTTATTATGATCCCGAACGGGATCTCCCACTGATCATGCTCATTTTCAAAGTTATTTATATCCGCAAAAACTCAATGAAAACGTCACAGAGTTTTGCTGTCGATCTCTTACGACAGTGCTACGCATGTTTGTGAAAGAAATAAGTGGAAAATCAAATGGACAAAATCGTACCCGTGCTCGCGAGTTTGACTTTATCGAAAAACTCAAAACTTGCACATTTTATCTGTGCTACTAAAACATGCGTTGCACTGTCGTAACAGATCGACAGCAAAAAACTCTGTGACGTTTTCATTGAGTTTTTGCGGATATAAATAACTTTGAAAATGAGCATGATCAGTGGGAGATCCCGTTCGGGATCATAATAACGAATTATCTCAGCTTATATAGCAAAGTGCTGCTACTCATTGTGGTATAATGTTAAAGTAGTACAGCCTCCAATAGATGAACAAACAAGGAAGAACACAGATTCCCAGAGCACCGAGCTATGAAGCGGAAACTACCTGTCCGGGTAACTTACCCGGACGGGCGATTGTTGCATACCGCCCCAGGAGAGCCACAGAGACCAGGACACGCATCAAATGGTGGAAATTGAAGACCAACAACCAGGCGAAACAAAAACTGTCAACAACTCTACCAAGCCTGCAAGAGAACCCAGAGCAATCCTTGGGCAAGCTTGGAAGATCGAGTCCACCAAGTGGCACACATGATCCTGGGAAGTACAAAGCCAGGAAAAAGAAGGATTAATCGAGAAACCTGGTGGTGGGATGACGGCGTGCAAAAAGTCATAAAGGAGAAGAGGGATGCGTACAAGCGATGGCTTAAGACGAAATCGGGGACGATCGCCAACATACCAACAGGCAAAACACGCGAAGGCTTCTGTAAAGAAGGCAAAACAGGTATACATGAAAGAGCTATGCGATCAACAAGAGTCTCGCGAGGGAGAACGTGAGATATACCGGATAGCGAGAAGAAGAGCGGCATTCACAAAAGATATGGAACACTTCCTCCATATCAAAGACAAACTTGGTAGGACGCTAAGAAAACCAGAGGACATCACCGAGAAATGGAGAACCTACTTCAAAGAGATGGCTACCACAAACCGCACCATCAACTCCATCCCAGAAGCCAGTCCTATAGAAGGACCAATACCAGCAGTCACTGAAGAAGAAGTATGGGTGGCTGTCAGAAAAACAAAGAATGGCAAGGCAACTGGTCCAGACGACATACCAAGCGAATTCTGGAAAATATGTAGACAATCCGGAGCCACATGGCCAACGAGTCTCCTCAATCAAGTCATAAGGAGCAAGAGCATGCCTCGCGACTGGTACACCAGCACGACCATCCCGATATGGAAAAACAAAGGAGACATAGCAGATTGCGCGTCTTACCGACCAATCCGACTGATGAGCCACACTCTAAAGATCTTCGAGCGAATAATCGAAACGCGTCTTCGAGATATCATAGAATTGTCACCAAATCAGTGCGGATCCGTGAAAGGAGTAGGCATAACTGACGCAATCCACTCCGCTCGTATAGTGATGGAGGAATATAGAGAGAAGCAGAAGGAATTGCATGCAGCCTTCCTGGACCTGGAGAAAGCCTTCGATAAGGTGCCCCATGAAGTCATATGGTGGGCCTTACGGAAACACAGGGTGCCAGAGGAGTACATTCAGTGGATAAAGTTGATCTACCACAACGCTCCAAGCCACGTGCAAACAGCTGCAGGGCAATCGAAAGAATTTTAAATCAAGGTTGGAGTGCACCAAGGTTCAGTTCTCTCTCCCTTGCTCTTCATCACTGTGATGAACGCCGTGATGGAACCGCTCAGACGTGAACCTCCTTGGACACTACTCTACGCAGATGATGTGTTGATAGCAAGTACCAGAAAGGAGCTACAAGACAAGGTACACAACTGGAAGAACAGGCTAGAGTTGTATGGCCTGAAGCTGAACACCAGGAAGACAGAAATAGGGAGGCAAACTCCTAATACCATAAGCATCGATGGTGAAGAGCTAAAGAAGACAACGTCATACAAGTATCTAGGCAGTCACATCTCAGCGGAGGGAGGCTTACAAGAGGAGTTTGCAGGCAGGATGAACACAGCATGGATGAAATGGAGAGCCTTAACAGGAGTTCTGTGCGACAGAAGAATGCCAGTGCAACTCAAGTCCCAACTGTACCGGACCGTTATCCGCCCAGCAGTACTGTATGGCAGTGAGTGCTGGCCATGTACGCGGAGTGAGGAGCGCAAGCTCAGTGTCATGGAAACAAGGATGCTACGATGGACCTTAGGTGTCACACTGAAGGATCATATCTGCAACGACACTATACGAGCTAAAATGAAAGTCGCTCCAAAAGGTGGCTACGATGGTATGGGAATGTGCGCAGAAGGGATGAAAGTCACATCACAAGGTTAGCCTTGGCGGTGGAAGCACCGGGCAAAAGACCCAGAGGTAGGCTCAAAATGAGGTGGATGGACAGAGTCAAGGCCGATCTGCGAGAACTTGGTATAAGTGAAGATCTTGCATCAGATAGAATAACATGGAGACATCTGACGAGAAAAGCAGACCCTGCATAAGCGGGACACATGCGAGGATAAAAAAAATAAAGAGATGGCCTTGATCAGCTGTGCACAAAATATGAATGTATTATATTAGAGCATAAGCGTTGCGTTTTGCAAACTGCTGTCCTACGCGACAGCAGTGCAATGAACGCAAACACACATACTCATAGACGCTGCGCTAAGTATGCCGTTTTCATTTGTCAGTGTTGGCAAGTAAAAGCACTAAGCAATTTGCGATAGCATGTGCTGCTCCCTTGCCGTAGCGTTTCTGACTAATCGGCACATGTGACTGTTGAGACTGCGTGTTAAGCAAGATCAGTAACAAGCAACAATTTACCCATAGAAAACGAAAAGGAACTCAAAGCCCTTATAGATTTTTGAGGATAAGAAGCTCATCCCACAAGTTTCCAGCGTCATCCCACCTTTCAATGATTTAAGAGTGTCACAAATCTCGCTTTATTTAAAGGTTTCCAAAATTTTGGTGAAAGTGCGAACAATTTTTTGGCTGCTTCCTCCACTCTTCTTCTACCATGTTGTTTCTTCACTCCTATGCTTTACAGAGGACTCATCGTTTGCACTAAACAGGGTGTTCCAAGAGTTTAGTCCGATCTAGGGCGGTATGTATCAATCGCCGTCTGGGTAAGTTACCCGGACAGGTAGTTTCCGCTTCATAACTCGGTGCTGTGAGGATCTGTGTGCTTGCTTGTCGCTCATATTTTGGATGCTCTAATACTTTAATATTATAGCACAATTAATAGCAGCACTTCGCTGTATAAGCTGAGACAATGCGTTATTTGTATGATCCCGAACGGGATCTCCCACTGACCACGCTCATTTTCAAAGTTATTTATATCCGCAAAAACTCAATGAAAACGTCACAGAGTTTTGCTGTCGATCTCTTACGACAGTGCTACGCATGCTTGTGAAAGAAATAAGTGGAAAATCAATTTGACAAAATCTTCGATGTACCTGTGCTCGCGAGTTTGACTTTATCGAAAAACTCAAAATTTGCACATTTTATCTGTGCTACTAAAACATGCGTTGCACTGTCGTAATAGATCGACAGCAAAAAACTCTGTGACGTTTTCATTGAGTTTTTGCGGATATAATTAACTTTGAAAATGAGCATGA